TATAGGGTTTAGAGTTTAGGGTATAGGGATTAGAGGGTTTAGGGCTTAGGGTATAGGGATTATGGGGTTTAGAGTTTGGGGTTTATAGGCTTTAGGGTTCAGGGTTTATAAGGTTCAGGATTCAGAGTTTAGGGTTTAGGGTTCAGGGTTTATAGGGTGTTTTTAATGCAGTAGCCCCCTTTCTCCCGCAAGAAAACAGAAGACTCGCTCCGTAGAGCGTGCACTTTATATTTAGGGTTCAGGGCTTATAAGGTTTAGGGTTTAGGGTTCAGGGTCCAGAGTCTCAAACGTCCACACAGTCCAGGGGTCCTCCAGCATGAAGGGGGCTCGGGCTGTATCCTCTGACATCATTGCAGGCACCCGCAACGTCGGAAGGCCAGGAAGCCCTACTACTCCATGCGAAAGACCCAGAAACTCCAATCGCCCTTCATGATCTTACTACCGTTCCTTTGAAGATCTTTGAAGTGTCTAGCATTTGGGTTTCCTTTGATGTATTGCAGCAATACCGAACAGCTGCAGCATTACTCTTTCCTGTCTTGAGCCGCATGCACAGCCTCGGAACAGATAAAGCCTAGCGCGAGAATGCCAGGCACTCGGTCACCCCGAACCCCCTAAACCTGTAAAACCAATCTGTGAAGTGAAGTCACACCAAGCCACGGATCTTGAACAAAATAACCCTAAACTTACACCCTGAACCCTCTACGGCTTCTTCATCCCGTGTTTACAGGGCAGGGCTAAAGCTTTGGGGGTTTATTTCTGGTTGCTACGGTTGATGATATAAATCCTGCATTACCCATAACAAGGAATTTACCATAAATCCCATAGTTTAGGGTCCTTAAGGTAACGCAGGATTTATATCATCAACAGAACGAACATAGTTCTTAGACATGGCGTCTCGGCTTCATCTCTGACTTTTCCGGTCCGTCGTACTGTCACTAAGCAGCCTCCAACAGCCCGGCAAGCTCCAAGGTCTCTGAGTAGGGTTTAGGGTTTCGGGCTTAGGGTTCCGGGGCCTTCTCCGCATCCGCTACCAGTGGCTTCTTGCTGCGGATGTCCTGTCGCCGTAGCATTGGACAATCAGGTCGTTTCAGAGCGAAGGAAAGGGTTTCGTCGGTCAGGGATCCCATCTGATCCCAGCGTCGGATGCTCAAAAGACTGATCCGCCCATCCATGACTGTTGGAGACGTTATCCCTTTTGCTGGTTTCCCTGGTCCACCCAACAAGGTTAACCTGTCAGCTGCGGTATGACTACACATGCAAACGCGGTAGGTTGAAGGATAGTAAGTACCCCTGATTGATCCGATTTCCGGAATCCTGAACATAGGGGCTCTCATATTCAAGCCAACTAAGAAGCGAATTTTTGTTCGGAGGCCTGCATCGCCTACTCAGCTATGCTATGATGCAAACTATGGGGGTTTCTTGTTTTGGGATAAATATCGCGATCTAGTGTCTAATTTAACCCTATGCTTCCAAGGACCTTATAGTTAGGGCCCTAGACCCCTTAAGGACCCAATAATGAGGTCCCTGGAATATAGGTGCCTGAATAAATAGAAGAGGACTGGAGTATCTTGCAGTGTAAAATATACAAAGGAACGAGACAATAGGGAAAGATTCATTATTCTTGCTAAAAGCACAAATCGGCTGCTACTGCCGTTGCATAGGTGTACAATCCAAAGACATCGTTAGAGGCAGCCAGAGATGGCCTTGGCAGAAATAGATTGAGACTGCATTGGGGACGAGATATCGAAGGTGCCGAAAGGGTTCCACAAGAGTTCTGCAAGGGTCCTATACGGCTACTGAGTGACACGTAACAGAGAAAGAAGGAGAGAGAGGCAGTAAACAAAACCTGAAGAAAGAAAAAGAGGGAGGGAAAGAACGGCACCGACAAACAAAGCGAGTGAACAGACGGTTGCGCAGAAAGAGAGACTGAGAGAAGCGGGAAAAGATCAGGGAAGAAGACGCCAAAGGCAGGCACACGAGCAAACAAGCAAGCACATGCGCGTGCGTGTGTGCCTGTGCGTGTGTGTGTGCGTGTGCGCCGCGGGGCGTGCAGGGCGCGTAGCATGTGTGTAGAGTGTGTAGGGTGTGCTGGGGATGTTGGCGGTGTTGAGTTGTTGAAGCTGTGCGAACAAATCCCCTGGCAAAACAAATCCCTGTCAAACAGCACTTCGATTTGCTGCTGTGCCGGAGTAACTAAGGGTATACCCAACCAGGAATGCAAGCCTGCTCACCCAAAAGGCTTCGCAGCCGATCGGCCAGCCTGACATGAGCACGTGCTGCTGAATCTGTGCTGCATGCTACAGTGCGATGTCAGTCGTCAGAAGGCTCGAAGCTGCGCCAACAGTTGGTCGGTCTTTCTGAAATGACAAGTTCATGCCCAGATCATCGAGTTGGAGTTTGGTCTGGCTGGCGCATGGTCTCTCAGAGACTCAAAATTTCTCGACTACTTCTTTTGCAAATCATAACACGGCTGCTTCCTGCAGAAGTCTTAACTCTGGGAAGCAACTTCCGTGGTTGGAAACGAACGCCGAAGGCATCCGTTCACGTCTCTAGCACCTTCGAATCCTTCCAGGCGCTGTGCTCTTCCATCTCATGGGGGGCCCATTTCCTAGCACGGGCACATCAAGTTCCAAGACAGCACACCCCTCAGCCAGAAGATCAATGATCAGAAGGACACGCCATGCATGGTAGAATGCTGACGCCTTCACATAGAGTGACAGGAGCACAAGAACAGTAAGGCATAACGAACAAGGACCATTGCGGCACGATATCCTCGAATCCTATCACCCGTTTCATGACGATGAAACTGACCATAATCATAAGTTTCTTCTTCTGGCAGCGGTACTGCTGATGCTGCTGCTGTTGTGGATAGGCTGCCTGTTGGTATCAGTACTAGATTGACACTTGTCGTTACCTCACGAAGATAGTACCGCCAAGATGGCATCTGAAAGTCTGTCGTGTCTGTATTGTGGCTTTCGACCACGACGTATTCGATACTTGATTTCCGGTGACACAGTCGCCGGTGCTGTTCTCTCTTTACTGTTTCAGTTAACTTGTAAATCTTCGACTGTGATTCCCTACCCGACCCCCTATCCGCCCACCTCGCCTGAATCGCACAGAGCCCTTCTAGAAGCGTGATAGAACCCTTTGGAACCCTTATATTAACTGTGACAGAACCCCGCTAAACACCCTTACAACACAAACAAAAACCTACAAAACCTTTTTAGACGTTTTAAACCAAAAAGCTATCCCTAAACCCTAAACCCCTAAACCCCTAAACCCCTAAACCGCTAAACCCTATAAACACGCTGAGCACTCCCAGCCTGGCCACGGAGAGCCCGCTGCGCGGCACCGCGGCCACCAGGCGAGGCACCGGCTCCTGGGGTCTCTGAGCCGCAAAGACGCGGCTTAGGGGGCTTAGGGTTTAGG